GCAGACTGGTGCAGCCACTGTGGAGAACAATATGGAGTTTCCTCAAAAAACTAAAAATGGAACTCCCATTTGACCCAGTGATACCACTTCTAGAACTATATCCCAAGAAAACAGAAACACCAATCAGAAAGGATATATGCACCCTTATGTTCACAGCAGCACAATTTACCATAGCTAAGATTTGGAAACAGCCTAAGTGCCCATCAGTAGATGAGTGGCTTAAAAACTGTGGTGCATCTACACAATGGAATACTATGCTGCAGTATAAAAGAAGGAATTCTTACCATTTACAATAGCATGGATGGAACTGGAGAGCATTATGTTAAGCAAAATAAGCCAGTCAGAGAAAGATAAACATCACATGATTTCACTCATTTGTGGAATATAATGAACAAAATAAACTGATGAACAAAAACAGATCCAGAGACAGAGAAGCATCGATCAGACTGTCAAACCTTAGAGAAAGGTAGGGAGAGTGGGGGTAAGGGGGAGAGATCAACCAAAGAACTTGTATCCATGCATATAAACCTAACCAATGGACACAGACACCAGGGGGATGAGGGCATGAGGGAGAGTGGGGGGCAAGGGGGGCACAAGGACACATATGTAATATCTTAATCAATAAAGAATAAAATAAAATAAAGTGAGGCAGTTCCATTTTTAATTTTTTGAGGAAACTCCATACAGTTTTCCATAGTGGCTGCACCAGTCTGCATTCCCACCAACAGAGCACAAGGGTTCCTTTTGGTCCACATTCTCGGTAGCACTTGTACTTTGTTGGTTTATTGATGGTAGCCATTCTGGCATGAGTGAGGCAAAACTGTAGATAAATTTTATAAAAATTTATTTTGAGTCAAACAGAGGATACACCTGGATGTAAGAGTTCAACAAACTGAGTTCAACAAACTATTGTTTGAAGAACAACAGTTTGCAGTTTCTTTTTTGCGTTTAAGATTAAGGACGGACATACACAAAGGGAAGATTACATGAAGGTGGGATAAGGTAAAACAGGGATGGAGTTGCAGGATAATTGAGATTATATGTTCCCTTGCATGCTTTTGAAGGAGGGGAATAAAGGGAAGCATTTCAAAGGTGTGTTAACCTAGATGTGTTAAACAATGGACAGGGCTTGCTTAAGACAAAGATCAGCCTTTTAGTAAAAAAGTTATAGGCCAGGGGTGTGACTACCCATTATGACCTGCCAGTTAGAAATTTATGATCAGATCACCCTGTTGAGATTACTTCCCATGTTTTCACACCCCTGTTTTCACGCCTAGTTTTTTTCTTCTACTTTAGTATAGTTCCTACTTACCATTTTCATACTCAGTGGAAATCTCATTTGTGCTATTGTTTTGGAAATATATCTAATTTAAATTTTCAAATATAAAGAGCATGTGTGAATTAGTGTTATTTAAATAATATAAAATTGCCATTTCATCTTACTGATTTTAAAAGATGACCTGTGCATATATTTTGGGACATACACAAATATTTCTAGTCATTGAAGAAAAATGTATTAAAACAGTGAGAGTAAATTAAATTGAGGGATTATTAAAAAATAATCCAAATTAACAAAATTCCAAATTTTTACTGAAGCATTAAAAATTATTCCAAGGTAAACTATAGAAAAGTGTTTACTTTTATTCACAAAATTGGTTATTCTCTCCATCCCTAACTTTTCTTTCCTTACTCTTGTCAATGTAAGAATCATCCAAACCTGTAGAAAATTTTAAAAGAGTTGTTTTGAGCAAAACTGATGACAAGTGATGGGAAGCAAGATCTCAAATGCTTCAGAGAAGAAGTTTGCTATCTTATACCTTTGGAATTAAGGAAGGAAATAAGGAAGATTACTTGAGGGTGGGAGAAAGCAAGGTGGGGATTGGATTATAGCATAGTTATCAAGATTATGTGATCTCTTGAAGATGTTTATGCCTCCAACTAGTCTAAAAGAGAGGATTACTCTGGCATTTCAAAGGTGTGTTAACCTAGATTCTCAAGAACAATGGACAGGGCTTGCTAATGGCAAAGATAAATCTTTCACTGAAGAAGGTATATGCCTGGGTCTGACTACCCAGCATGACCTGCCCAGTTAGGAATTTATAATTCAGATCATCCTGTGAGGTCACTTTCCTTCACTGGACTTGTCAGTTT